CAGCAGTCTAAGAATCCAAGTGAATCCTGAGTGCCAAGGTCGAGGCGACCGACTCAATGAGACCCTCCAATGTGGAATGATTTGGGTTGGAAAGGACCTTAAGACCATCCAGTTCCAACCCCCTGCTATGGGCAGGGACCCCTTCCACTAGAGCAGCTTGCTCCAAGCCCCTGCGTCCAACCTGGCCTTGAGCACTGCTGGGGATGGGGCAGCCACAGCTTCTCTGGGCACCCTGTGCCAGCGCCTCAGCACCCTCCCAGGGAAGAGCTTCTGCCTTATCTCCAACCTGAACTTGCCCTGTTTCAGTGTGAACCCGTTCCCCCATGTCCCATCACTGCAGTCCCTGATGAAGAGCCCCTCTCCAGCATCCTTGTAGCCCCCTTCAGACACTGGAAGCTGCTCTGAGGTCTTCAGGCAGCTTCTCTTCTCCAGCCCCAGCGTTCTCAGCCTGGCTCCATATGGGAACTGCTCCAGGCCCTGCTCATCCCTGTGGCCTTGCTCCAACAGCTCCATGTCCTTCTTACGCTGAGGACACCAGAACTGGATGCAGCATCCAAGTGGGCTCTCAAGAGAGCAGAGCAGAGGGGCAGGATCACCTCCAAGACCTTCTGCTCATCTCCTATGGATGCAGCCCAGGACACGATGGTTTCTGGCCTTGTTGTACCCAGTAGTTGTATCAAGCCATTTAACATAAACCTGGGAGACCCTGGCAGAAGGAATGTGTGCAGGTACCTACGTTTCAGTCCCGTGCTGGCTTTCTGGGGTGGGATGTGCTGCACCACTTTGGTTCCCCCAAATATGATGTGCAATCGAGCATCTGTCTGCATGTCCAAGATGTGCTCGGGGCTGAGATCCTCCACGGGCTCCTGCAGGACAAAGTTCAGGCTCAGAACCACTGCATTACACTTACAGATACTCTTTCTGTTCTTATCCCATGTAAGGTAAGCTTTGCTTCAACCAAAGGTGGCCTGAAGTGAATCTAGACCTCAACCATTCTGCTCCTGATGCTGGGTTTAGAGCCTGGCATCTGTGGAAACGCGGGTTTTGGGGGACTACTTGCCCCCTGGTGCCCTGAATTCAGCAAGGAAGGCTCTGCAAGCATGACTTCATCTTGAAGTCACCCACTGGCACAGGAAGAAGGAAGAGGTAGGGGTTTGCAGTGCTTCACGCTTGTTCCTCCTCCCACCTCTACCCAGCCCAAGGAATCCAGACTAGGGAATGTGTGGGAAGGTGATGCCATGCTCCAGGAGTTCAGCCCCAAAGGCTGGAGTCAGTGCCAGACAAAACAGACACTTCTGTTTCTCATTTACCAGACACCATCCATCACTGCCGGGGAGCAGATACCAACCACAGCAGGTTGCTCAGGGCACAGCCAAGCTTTGCAGTGGCTGGAATGTTTTCCCCTTTCCCAAGCGAGGAGCATGGGGGGGGACATCTCACAGACCTTCATCTGTGGCACGGATTCTCCTGTCAGCATAGCTTCATCTACAATGCACCTTCCCCGCAGCAGCAGCACATCACAGGGCACCAGGTTCTCGTGAGGAGATCGCCCTGGAATGAACACATCAGAAGTGAGAAGAAGCTCCAAGGCACAAGATGTGCCTTGGGCTGTCTGGCTCTGCTTCAGTTTAGCTCCCAACCTCCCACATCATGCACCCACGCCGCAGTGCTGGCAGCCAAAAGGGTTGGAACAGGATGAGGCCTCTAGCAAGACCACGGAAGTTGGAAGTACATCACCCACTTCTCCCTGTCATCCAGGCTTCAAAGCCTGGGATTACATCCCAGGGTAATGCAGCCTTCAAAGGGAGAGCAGGTTAAGAGAGAGCTTCCCATTCCTCTTCCCACTCTAGGAAGAGCTTGTGTCCCAGGAGGACAAGGGCCATGAAGATGCTCTGAGGGCTGGAGCAGCTCTGCTCTGGACACAGGCTGGGTTCAGCCTGGAGAAGAGAAGGCTCCAGGAGACCTTAGAGCAGATTCCAGTGCCTAAAGGGCTTGGAGCAACCTGCTCTAGTGGAAAGTGTCCCTGCCCATGGCAGGGGGTTGGACGTGGAGGAGCTTTAAGGTCCTTTCCGACCTGGACCAGTCTGGAATTCTGGGAATCTGAGGCTGCACACTGCATCCCGCTGGAAGGAACCCGATCTGAGAGCAGCTTTTGGTTGCAACCATCATGCACATCCTTACCAATGGAGACAATATCCCCTGGGATGATCTCGTCACTGCAAATGGGGCGCCACTTACGGTTCCTGTAAACCTGCAGGGACAAGAAAGCACCTTGAGGAGCTCTGCACCCTTCAGAAAGGGATGAGAGGAAAAAAGGTGGGGAGGGGGGTAAAGGAACAACAAATAAGCTAAAAGACAGCAAGAATTCCGTGCCCATCCTGTGTGCTTTCCATCACCTGGATCATGTACGGCTTGTTGCCCATCTTCCGGATCTCAGACATGTTCCTCATCTGCTGCTGGACCAGAGAAGCTTCAAATGCAACCAACATGGAGAGGGTGAACACGCTGTAATACCAGTACTCATCCAGGCACCACAAGCCCACACAGAACACCTGCAGAAGAACAGAACGCTCAAGTTGGTCTCATCCCACTCCGAAACCAAAAGCCTCCCAGTTCCAGGAATTCTTTCTGGAGCTAACTTGAACCACGTTTCATTGCAGGGGGCCACAAAACCCGAGGACCACGGGAAGTCATTAGGGGGAGGCACTTTCTGAAGGCCAATCAAAGTTACAGTGCAAGCATAGCATCTTCTCCTGGGTTTAGGAAGCTGCCAGCTGATTTATGGCTCTCAAGGCAGGAACTGAAAGGACTTCTCCCGTTTCCTAGCAGGGACAAGCTGGTTTGTTACCTGGAAAACGAAGAAGGGAGCTGTAGCCCTTTCTTTAAAGAGTTCCAGGAACTCCGGCACCACCATCTCAGCCCTGGGAAAGAACGGAATCCGTCTGAACCTCAGCATTCCACACCCTCAGCACAAGCCCAGCCCAGAAGCCACCTGCAGGCTCCATCACAGTCAGCAGCTCCCTCTTTTCAATGACGTTGGTGCGGGGAGATGCAGTTAATCTCCATCTCAAGCCCACCCTTGAGGAAACCCTTTGGGCTGATGTCCTTAAAGGAACTGGGAGTGCTGGGAGGAAGTGAAACTTAAAGCCCCAGGAACAGCACCGTGGTTCAAGGCTGTTGGTCCTGACTGGGATACCCTGACAAGGAGAGCTCTGTGCTTGGAAAACTTACTTGTTTGTCCCATATTTCTTCTCAGCTGCTCGGATATCTTTGTCTTCCTGATAGCCTCGGGCATTCTGGTAGTAACAAAGGGGATGTTCCACAGGGAAAGCGACAGGGAGGAACTGCTTCTTGCCATCCAGCTCATAGGAGTATTTGATTTTTTGGAATTCAAAGGAAAGAGCCTCCTGCCCATCCTCCCCCTGCAGAGATGGGGGAGAAAACCCAAAGTGAACACCAAAGGCTTCGCTCCACACAGAACCTGATGAAGGAAAGGCATCCCAATCCCTGAAGCATCTCCCGATTGTATGACTCTGCTGTATGGCCAGGGAACACTGTGGATCCCTTCATCCCCCCCCCAGGTGATTTCTGACCAAGAGCTTCAGTTAGAAGCCCCTAAAGCTGCAGCTGACAGCACCACGCAGCAGCTCCTGCGCTCAGCACGTCCTCACCTGGTCTCTGTGCAGTGGCACCAGTTCCACCGAGCCGTTGTTTGGGGTTGGCACAACTTTGGCCAGCGTGGCTTTCTTCGGGCAAGGTTCCTGCAACACAAGCAAGAGACGCTTCAGAAAGCACATCCCAGAGCCCGGAATTCAATGGGCTGGGAGGAATCCTCCCTTCGAGACGCCAGGGGCATCCCAGAATGGTTTGGGTGGGAAGGGACCTTAAAGCTCATCTGGTTCCAGCCCCCTGCCATGGGCAGGGACACCTTCCACTGGAGCAGCTGGCTCCAACCTGGCCTTGAACAGGGATGGTTCATCCAAACCCTCTCCATTCAACCCATCCCAGTGTCCCACCACCCCACAGGGAAGAGCTTGTGCCTAAGATCCCATCTCCACCTCCCCTCTGGCAAGTTAAAGCCATTCCCCTTATCCTGCCCCTCCATCCCTCATCCCAAGCCCCTCTCCAGGTTTCCTGCAGCCCCTTCAGGCACTGGAGCTGCTCTCAGGTCTCCCCTTCAGGACCCTTCTCTTCTCCAGGCTGCCCCAGCCCAGCTCTCTCAGCCTGGCTCCAGAGCAGGGATGCTCCATCCCTCCCAGCACCTCCACGGCCTCACTCCAACAGCTCCACATCCCTCTGGCACCATCGCCCTGCTGCTGGAATCAACGACATCCCAACGCTCCCAGCCCTGGATAAACCCAACACGCTTCACTCGGGGCACCTGCCAGCAGGACCCAGCCCCAACAGCGCCTGCAAACAGCACCCAGCCCTGCTCCAAGGGCGCAGCAGAGGCACCGGGCCGTGCCCTGAGCTCCCCGCACGGCGCTGGGGCACCGCTGCTCACCCGCACATCTCCTTCCCCCCGGCCCGAGCCCCGTTAACGGCAGGAACGCTTCCCCGCTCCCCTGCAGAGCCTCCCCACGGGGAGCAGGAGCGCGCAGGGGGCCTCACCCGGACGCAGGTGAGGGCGCAGTGAGCGTGCACCGACCACAGCCCCGACAGCGCCGTCAGCAGATGGAGCACGCCGATGGCGGCGAGCGCCAGCAACGCGGCCTCCGGGGCAGCGGGGCCGGGGCCTCCGGGCCTCGGGCCTCCCTCATCCTCCTCCGCCGCCGCCGCCGCCTCGCCGCCCCACGCGGCCCACACGCGCGGCCCCCACAGCCAGAGCCAGGCCGGGTAGAGGCCGGCCACGAAGGGCAGCACGGTGCCGTGCAGCAGCCGCGGCCGCCGCCGGTACAACGTTACCGACGAGACCAGCTCGTCCCCGGGGCCGGCCGCCGCCATCTTCCGACCGACACGGAGAGAGCGACCCGGTGCTTGTGCTTGTACTTGTACTTCCGCTTCCGCTTCCGCCGCGCATGCGCGCTGCGGCACGGCCGGCTGGAGCGGCGGAGGGATGTGAGTGGTGGGGAGGTGTGGGGTGGGATGGGGATCGGGATGGGGATGGGGATAGGGATTGGGATGGGGATCGGGATGGGGACCGGGATCGGGATGGGGACCGGGATCGGGATTGGGATTGGGATGGGGATGGGGATTGGGATGGGGATGGGGACCGGGATAGGGACCGGGATGGGGATTGGGATCGGGACGGGGATGGGGATAGGGATGGGGATCGGGATAGGGATGGGGACAGGGATAGGGATGGGGACAGGGATAGGGATGGGGATGGGGACCGGGATGGGGATTGGGATGGGGATGGGGATCGGGATGGGGATGGGGATAGGGACCGGAATGGGGATGGGGATAGGGATCGGGATAGGGATTGGGATGGGGATCGGGACAGGGATTGGGATGGGGATCGGGGCGGGGATCTGGATTGGGACAGGGATCGGGATAGGGATTGGGACAGGGATCGGGATAGGGATTGGGACCGGGATAGGAATTGGGATAGGGACCGGGATAGAGATTGGGATCGGAATAGGGATTGGGATAGGGACCGGGATCGGGATCGGGACCGGGACAGGGACAGGGATAGGGATCGGGATCGCGATAGGGACCGGGATCGGGATCGGATCTAGAACCGGAACTAGAGTCGGAATCTAGTCCGGGGCTGGGTCCGGGACCGGGGCCGGGGCCAGGATCGGGTCTGGGTGCGGGACCGGGGCCGAGGCTCTGTTTGGGCCGGGGCCGGGATCGGGTCTGGGTCTGGGTCTGGGTCTGGGTGCGGGACCGGGGCCGAGGCTCTGTTTGGGCCGGGTCTGGGGCCGGGACCGGGGCCTTCTTTGGGCCGGGTCTGGGCCTGGAGCAGGGGCTCGGGCTGTGCTCGGGGCCCTGTTTGGGCCTGGCCTGGGGCCTGGAGCCTGGAGGCGGGTCCGGAGCGGGGCCTGTCCCGCTGTCCCCGCCGTCACGGCTCCGCGTCCCCGCAGGGAGGCGGCCCTGGAGATCACGGCTCGCTACTGCCGCTCGGAGCTGGAGCAGTACGGGCGGTGCGTGGCCGCCAGCCCGGCCTCCTGGCAGCGCGACTGTCACCGGCTGCGCCTGAGCATGTCCCGCTGCGCCGCCGGGCAGTGAGTGCGGGCACGGGGCCGGGTTTGGGCCGGGGGGGAGCCCCGCTTGCTCCGGGCTCCGCGGAGCTCAGGACCCCCCCCTGCCGCCCGCAGCCCCATCGTGCAGCGCATCCGGCAGGACTGCGCCGAGCCCTTCGCTGCCTTCGAGCAGTGCCTGCGGGAGAACCAGGCGGCAGTGGTGAAGTGCAGCGAGCACGTCAACGCCTTCCTGCTGTGTGCAGACAAGGTGAAGGTCTCCACGTGAGGTGGGTGCTGGGCTGCAGAGCGGGGTCCGCAGCTCTCAGTCCTTGGTGCTTGGGGGCTGCTGGGTGAAACAGGGGGAGCAGAACCCATAGAGCATGTCAGTGCCTTCCTCTCTGTGTCATCTCCACGTGAGGTGGGTGCTGAGCTGCAGAGCGGGGTCCGCAGCTCTCAGTCCTTGGTGCTTGGGGGCTGCTGGGTGAAACAGGGGCAGTAGAACCCATAGAGCACGTCAACGCCTTCCTCTCTGTGTCATCTCCATGTGAGGTGGGTGCTGAGCTGCAGAGCAGGGTCTGGGGCTCTCAGTCCTTGGGGGCTGCTGGGTGAAACAGGGGCAGTAGAACCCATAGAGCACGTCAACGCCTTCCTGCTGTGTGCTGTCTCCACATGAGGTGGGTGCTGAGCTGCAGAGCGGGGTCCGCAGCTCTCAGTCCTTGGTGCTTGGGGGCTGCTGGGTGAAACAGGGGCAGTAGAACCCATAGAGCACGTCAGTGCCTTCCTCTCTGTGTCATCTCCACATGAGGTGGGTGCTGAGCTGCAGAGCAGGGTCTGGGGCTCTCAGTCCTTGGGGGCTGCTGGGTGAAACAGGGGCAGTAGAACCCATAGAGCACGTCAACGCCTTCCTCTCTGTGTCATCTCCATGTGAGGTGGGTGCTGAGCTGCAGAGCAGGGTCTGGGGCTCTCAGTCCTTGGGGGCTGCTGGGTGAAACAGGGGCAGTAGAACCCATAGAGCACGTCAGTGCCTTCCTGCTCTGTGCTGTCTCCATGTGAGGTGGGTGCTGAGCTGCAGAGCAGGGTCTGGGGCTCTCAGTCCTTGGGGGCTGCTGGGTGAAACAGGGGCAGTAGAACCCATAGAGCACGTCAATGCCTTGCTGCTGTGTGCTGTCTCCACGTGAGGTGGGTGCTGAGCTGCAGAGCAGGGGTCTGGAGCGCTCAGTCCTTGGTGCTTGGGGGCTGCTGGGTTAAACAGGGGCAGTAGAACCCATAGAGGCCTGGAATGGGTTGGGTTGGAAGGGACCTTAAAGCTACTCCAGCTCCAACCCCCTGCCATGGGCAGGGGCACCTTCCATTAGAGCAGCTTGCTCCAACCTGGCCTTGAACGCCGCGAGGGATGAAGCATCCAAACCCACACTGTTCAACCCATCCCAGTGTCCCACCACCCTTATGGGGAAGAACTTGACATCTAACCTACCATGGAAAAGCATTAAAGCAAATAACATGTTACTGAGCACCCAGAAATCACCTCCCGTGGTCATGGGCTGTGATCTGCTGCGGTGCTGCATCCACACGGAGCCGACCTGATGCTTTTATTTGTGCTCTTTGTGTTTTTCCACAGGGGAGCCCTGGAAGCAGAATTCATCTTGAGGAGTGAATGAGAAGTCTTTGTGTGCTCTGGACTCTGGTGCTGCTGCTGGGTTGGGTTGGTTGAGCCCCTCTGAAGAGCAAGGTGCAGCTCTGCAAGGTGGGATTCTCAGTTGGGGGCACGCTGGGCTTGGCTCCAGCAGCCAGCTGGACCCTGACTGGGATTGTCACGATACAAGGGTGCTGCTAACGATGGGGTTTGCTTGCTGAGTTGCCTCTAAAAGCTTGATAAGTAAATGAATGACAGAACTGGGGTGAAGCGACACCAAAGGATCAGCTGCGACCTGCAGATGGCCTTGAATAGGAACCCAAAGCAGAAATCAGCCCTTCTCTCTTTCTCTGCAGCCTGTCTTCTCCAACACTTTGCTCATTCAGCACAGTGTTTTCCTGCATCCCAATAAAAGAACAAAACCCTCCTTTCTGACATCCAAAGCCAGGTCTGGCTTTATCCCACTGATGACGGAAGCTGGATACCGGGCTGTTTGCTTGGCTTATAAAGGTTGGCTTGAGCCACTTGGAAACACCCTGTGCAGCTCCCCGGCTGGGGGGATGCTGTGAGGGGCTGGAGCCCGGCTCTCCTCCTGGTTTAGAACAGCAGAGGGAGTCTTCCCGCAGCAGAGAGGGCAGAAACCTGCTGATGGGAGAGCACTGCCTGCCCTAGCAACAGCACAACGCGGCTTCCTGTGCAGGGGAGCAGAGCCCAGCTCTAAGGAGAGCTGGTTTCTGGGCTGTAACTGGTGGGGAAGAAGAGACAAGGAGCGATAGATGGTGTCATGATGAGTGGGGTGACCTGGTGAGTGCTTCTGTGCAGGGAGACCTTTGGGCTCACCAGTATAAGAAGGACATGGAGCTGTTGGAGGAAGTCCAGAGGAGGCCATGGAGATGCCCCAGGGTAGTGGAGCAGCTCTGCTCTGGAGCCAGGCTGAGGGAGCTGGGCTGGGTCAGCCTGGAGAAGAGAAGGCTCCTGAAGGGGAGCCCTTAGAGCAGCTCCAATGTCCCTTCAAGCGGGCAGAGAATCTCTGCCAGCAAAGGTTTAAACCGTTGGGAACAAGGTTCAAGGAAGGAGAAATGAGTTTCTGTGCCTTGGTCACACAACTGCAGCTCCAGAGGAACATCTCTGGAGTAGGAGCTTGGTCTGCCAGAGCAGAGCCATGGAAGAGGTGTGCAGGGAGCAGATGACCCCCAGAAACAGCAGCAGCCTCCTTCTCTGGACGTAGCAGCCCAGCTTTGCTGGGTTTGTGAGGTGGGGTTTGTACCTCTAAGAGAGGGTGAGGCCTGGAACTTGGCTTTGCCCTGCTTCCCAGCAGTTCATACCCATTAATCCTCGGTGGTGGTTCAGCCAGGCGTTACGTCCAAGTGTTCCCTTTGAGCCTCTTGGTGGCTGGCAAGCATCGCTGGGCCTTCTCCAGCTCCACACACAGCTTTAACTCCTTTGGGGAGAGGGACAGCAGGTTGAAGTCGATGGGGTCCAGCTTCTAGCAGAGCCCCAGTCACAAAGTCAGCTCTTTGGCTCGCAGTGGCCATGGGAACATCCAAAGATGCTGGGCTCCCGTCTGCAAACATCTGCACAAACATCAGGAAGCTCTTGGCTGCCTTTTAGCAGCTGCTGGGGGGGGAGCTTGAGACCTAAAGAGCTGCTTTATGGTGGGCAAAGGCAAGCAGGAAAGGAGGAGGACACGGGGGTTGGAGGCAGCACCCCGTGGGTCAGGAGGGGCTGGGGTGTGAATAGCTTTATTAAGGATGCAGTTGGTGGGAGCGAGGGTGCTTTGCGTGGTGTTGACACTGTATTGAAATGTCAGGCTGGCAGCACAAAAGCCATTTTTCATTAGGTTTAAGGTGCACCGGGGCCCCTCTTAAGCCCAGTTCTGCCTGAGCCACTCCATTATTGCCTGCTCTTACACGTTAACCACTGAGCTGCCGAGCACTTGGGGTTGTCAGCCTCGAGCCACCCACACGGGGATCCTAGGGAGAAGGGGGAAGAGGAAGGTGCTGATCCGGCCTGGTTTGGAGTGTGAGCAGGGGCAGAAGTGCTGGGGAAATGGAAGTTTTCTTCTGGATAAAGAACACATCTTCCTCATATCATGGAACGATCGGGGTTGGAAAGGACCCCCACTTCCACCCACTAGACCCTTGGAAGGGAGAAGCGTGGAGCAGATCTGCAGCTCTTTCTCCTTTCTGTTTATGTGCTACCTGCTCCTGCTGGAATAAACCCAGAGGGGCAGTCACAGCTGCTTGTGGCATTGCCAAGCAGAAGGAAGCCCCTTCTTCATCTCCTGGGCTGTGATACTGCCTCCTGCCCCTTCGTTTGGGTAGGACAGGCTTATGGACTCACCGAGCAAGGGGGAGAAGTCCCCAGGCAGTCCGTGAGGCTGGGAGGTTCAGCTTTACCACCAAAGGCTGCAGTGAATCAAATGGAGAAGGGAATGAGCTGCTTTCCCCAAAGGGGCAGACTTGGGGTGGAAAACCAAGAGGTTTGGGGCAGGATTGGGCTGCCCCAGCCTCCCAGACACAAAGCAGCCTCAGAACTGATAGAGAACCACAGTGCTGAGGAGCAGAGCCCAAAGGAGCGAGTTCTGAGACGTGTTAAGGCAGCAGCATCAGTGGGGGTTAAGCCTTGTAAAGGATCCACTCTTGGGGTGCCACCAGGTTCCTGTCTTTGCCATGGGCTTTGCTTGGTTTCCAGGTCCCGGGTCTGGTTTTAATGCCTGTTAATGGTTCTCAATGCTGCTTTGGGGTTAAATGGGGGGGTTTGCCTCCTGCTGCAGCGAACTGGGTGTCAGCAGCCTTCTGCTTTAACCCCCCCTGAGCTCTGCGTGGCCTTGGAAGCTGGGCTTGACCATGGCCCATGCCTCTATTTCCTCACCTCGCAACCACTGAGCAAGGAAGGAGGAGGGATGGAAGCCTGCAGGCAGCGCTGAGGCCCTGAGCTAGGATGAGCAGCTCAGTTACTCAGCCTCGCTTTACCTCCACTTCTCCTTGCTTTCCATCGCTCTGGATGCAAAGTGAAGCGGGCTGGGGGGGGCTCCTGGTGCTGTCACTTCTCCTTTCGAGTGGAACTTGAAAGCCAATCAGGGGAATTGCACCGGAGCCCTCGAACGGGGACGGAGCCCGAGCAGCTCTTTCATTTTTCATCCAGAAAACGGGCTCGTTTTCCACTCGGCTTCCCTGTCTGAAAGGAGCCCATAAATCAGCGCCTGCCTTCAAGAGATTTAGTGCTGCTGGCAGGCCTGGGTCTGCAGCGGGCACCTGCGGAGGGCACAGGATGCTTGGGGGGGGTGAGACGGGGACGAGGGAGGCACATTCCATGCACACACACGTCTTGCTTTAGTTGGCCGTGGTCCAGAGGGGCTTTGGAGCGAGCAGGAGGGCAGTGGTGTGGGCTGCGGGGGGGGAACGTTCGTCCCCTTTCGGTCGCCTTTGCTCTCGTGGCTGTGATCCCAGGGCATTCCCAGCCCTTCCTTGCGTGTCCCAAGCAAGGCCCCGCACCTCTCCCTGCTCGAGGAGAGCGGTTCTTGTGCCTCTTGGCCCTGCCCCAGAGCTGCTGCTGTTGCCCCAAAGCCCGTGTGTGATTTACTCCGTTCCTCTCCCATTTCCCCCTCAGGTGATGCAGCCCTGCATCCCTGATGCCCCCCGGGAGCTCAGGGATGGGTGTTGCTATCCCCAGGCTGCCAAAGGCTCCGCTCCCTCCCGGGTACCTACGTGAAGCTCCTTCTGCCTCTTCCCATGTAATGCTCGCTGCCCTCCTGCTGCCTCCCCAAGGCTCGGGAGCTCCAGGTCTAGCCAAGCATTTATTCACGTTGGGATGCTGGCTCCTCTTGCAGCTGCCTCCCTCCTGCTCCGGGGTCTGCTGCCTCTTAAGGCACGAGCAGCCACCGACACCGCTTGCTCCTTTGCTCCAGGGTGCCTGGGAGAGGCCATGGATGCTCAGGCCAACCTTGGTGGGACTGCAAAGGGGGCAGCGGGCTGCTCATGGCTGGGGTTTGGGCTGAGACAAGCTTCAGGTTTGCAGTTCCAGTTTGCTTTATTAGTCGCATTATGGTGATGGTTTTCCAATGTACATGCAAAGGAAAGCCCATGGGCAAGGTCACAAGGAAGAGAGGGTGAGGGGGCAGTGGGTGAGTGCCCCTAGGCTACGTACAGGAGGAGATGTCTCTGGGGAGAGGCATCGTCTGGTACCAAGAGCAGAGCCCGGGGCGCTGCGGGGGCAATGGGAAGTGACTGCACACGAGCACGGGTCACGTTCACACAGCTTTATTAAAGGTGAAGCGAGCGTGGGGTGCTGCTCAGGGCTCTGCGCCTGCAGACAGCAAGAATCGGGCATTGCTTTCGCGTTGGAGAGGCTACACACCTTCAAAACCAGCGTGGGGAGGCTCGGGTGTGCCCCACGTAGAGAGCCATCAGCTCCGGGGCTGCATCACCGCGCTCCAGCTCTGGAGATGCCAGGTTGGGAAAGAGTCACCGTTCCCTTTGGGAGTCCTGTGGTCAGCTCACACAGAGGAGGGCAGGTGGGCATTCCTTCTGCTGGCGTGCTCTTAGGCTCCTGGGAAAACCCGGCCTTGCCAGGAATGCCAGCTCTCCTTCACCCATGGAAAGAATGAAAGCCCAGCCTGGGGTCCTGGGCAGGAGAATGAAGAGGTTCCCCTGGGTGACAACAGAGCTTCCCTGGGTGACAACAGAGACTTCCATTCTGAGCTCGCTCTTCCTTGCCCTCTTAGTGGGGACAAAGCAGCACTTCTTGCGACTCGCCTGCCCCGTGGCATGGGGATGGGTGATGGACGCGCGTCGCCGCGTGGGCAGCGTTGGGGCACACGGAGAAGCCCGGGGAGCAGCAGGAGCATCCCTTAGCCATGCCCCAGCCCCTTGGATTTCCCTGTTGCAAGTCCCAGCCTGCGTCTGCGTTGGGAACCGAGGCAAAGATGCGCGGCAAGCTGCAACCAAGGCTTCAATGAAGGGGCCTGGCGGCTCCTCCTGCTTCTAGGGGCGGCTCTGGGGGGCGGTGGCCAGGCTTTGC